TGTCCGGGCAGCTTCTGAGTATCTCCAAGGATAGAGACTTCACAGCCTCCCTGGGCAACCTGTGCCAGTGCTCGGTCATCCTCACAATAAAAAAGTGTTCCTGATGTTCAGAAGGAACCTTCTCTGTTTCAGTTTGTGCCGATTGCCTCTGGCCCTGTCTTTGGGCACCACCGAAAAGAGCCTGGCTGTGTCCTCTTTTCACTCTTCCTTCAGGTATTTATAGACGTTAGTGAGATCCCCTGGAGCCTTCTCTTCCCCAGGCTAAACAGACTCAGGACTCAGCCTCTCCTCAAATGCGAGATGCTCCAGTCCCTTCATCATCTTTGTGGCCCTTCATTGGACTCTCTCCAGTATGTCCATGTCTCTCTTGTACTGGGGAGCCCAGAACTGGACCCAGCACTCCAGCTGTGGCCTCACCAGTGCTGAGCAGAGGGGAAGGATCACCTCCCTCAACCTGCAGGCAGCCCAGGACACCATAAGGCTTCTTTGCGACAAGGGCACATTGCTGGCTCACTCAGCCATTAAGCACACGTGAAGCATTAACTCCAGTAGAAGGCAAGACTGGGCAGTGACAGGAAGCTGAAGGAGGACTAGGGCAGATACCCCCTCAGTAAAGCAGGTTCACAATGTGGATAGCAGACCAGATGGATCCCTGGTCCAATCCAGGGCAGCAATTTCTGCATTCCTATGCTTCCACAGTCTCTCCCTGTCTCTCTCAGTCAACCTTCACGCCATTTCTGAGCTATGTGCGTGACCTTTTCAGATACTCCACAGCAGGAACATTTGCTTTATCCCATTTATTTGTGCCTACAGTTCTGTCTATGCCTAGGTGAGAACAAAGGTGATCTACATGACTTCTGGATGACCCTGAAAAAGATTAATCTTTTTTATATGAGGTCTGTTCTTGGCAGATATTCAAACTATCTTCCCCCTTGCCACATATGCATGCGTTTCCTCCACCTCATTGACCATTTTTCCCCACAGACAATCAAAAAAAGAAAAAAAGGATAGATCCCCTTTTTGTGGAATTTTCCTATTGCGATTTTAAAAGCTCACTGCTTGAGATAAAGAAACAAGCTGTATTCCATTTTTGTCATCAGCTGTAAATGCTTAAACAGCAGGACACAGAGTTAGGAGGTCCTGGCCCATCAAAAGACCACTTCTGGATGGCAGCAGATGGTACTGATCTGCAGCAAGGGCACCTTTCACAGAGCCTGAGCAGCATACAGACGCTGCCAGCAAGCTAAAAAAACACCCCAGTGAACTTGCTAGAAAAACTTCACGTTGCAAAAAGGTGCAAAGTTAGATCAGATTAGTTAACTTAATTTCCAGTGTACCTTTGGAGTTGCTGCTGCTATTCCACAGAAATACATATTTTACTACTGTTACTATATTTACTTTTATTTTTTTACTATTGCAAGAGTACTATCACATCTTTCTCAGCTGTGGCTTGAGTCCTCTCCTGTGCATTCACTGCATTAAACATTTCATTCTCTTTAAGAATGGAACTACCATCTCTGTCTGCAAGTCAGCTTTACTGCTGACCTTTCATACACAGGGAATCAGACTGGAAATAAAAACCACATGGCATCAAGTATATGACAAAGTGCCTGAAACATTTTATTTGACATCCATTGAGATGACCTGAACAGCTCACTCATTGCTTCATCATTTCTGATTAATGCACACACCCAAATGCATGCCAACATAACCCTTCCTGAAACCACGCTCCATTTATTATATGACAGTGATGTTCACATGATAGACTGGAGAGCACATGACTACTCAGTATATGTATTAGTAACAAAACATATTACAGCCCCATAGGCCTAACCCTTCTGCCTCCTGATCTATCCCTCATGAAATTCTATAACTTTCAATGCAGTTTCTATAGTGCCAAACTAAAAACAGCATCATAGCAATATTTCTTCTGCCTCTTTCATGGTTTATTTCCCTTCTAAACCCGTCCTGGGCTGTAAGATAGGTCAGATTTGGTCCACTCCCAGCAAGTGAATTTCTGCAGCTAAAAATTCTCCCTCTTTCACTACAGTACCTTGTTGGCTGTTTTAGGTCCTACTGAGCAAAAAATATGAACATCACATACCTGGGAAACAGACACCCACATGCCATCCAGTGGCCCTAGAAGGAATCCAAGGCATTTCAAAGTAATTTTTATTGATAGGAAAGTTATTTTAAGTGATTTTACGGGATTTTTCCCCCTTTTTAGTGTTTTTAATTTCATTTTGATCTAACATCCACAACTGTGTCTAGGTCTGAGGGATTCTAAAGAAAGATCTCCAAACAAAGCTGTCAGATTTTGAAATGAACTAACAGTTTAAAATTCTTGGCATCTTTAGTGTCACAAACACAATATTACACAGTGTAAGTTTTTTTTAATTGGAGCTGATGTATGTAATTTGGGGTTTTTCCCCAGTTATCTGCCAATGCAATCACCACAAACTCATGACAACAAAAAGGCCTTACTGAAATGCTAAGTGTTTCTCTCCTTCATACACAATGCTCATATGACAATAACAAAAGGAAAAGAGAAAGAAATTTATTGATTTGAATTGTGTTTAACCATATTCATAATGAATTAAGATTCTTCTATGTATTTGCAAGAGAGAGGAGCATATAAACAATACCACAGTTTTTACTGGTACAAACCTAGCGTGATCACGTGATTCCTGCTTGCCTCAGGTATAAACTATAGAGGTCATTTTAAAATCGTGTAACAAGATTTACAGCATTCCACCTTGTATTTTCTTCATACCTATTTTTTTTTTATACGCCACATTATTTTCAAAATAAAAAACATTCCAAATCTATAGTTGGATAAAAGCTATAAGCAAGGATCAATCGCATCATAAAACCAAAGTATCCAGATTCCAAAAGCTGCCTGTAAGATAATTTTCTTGGTCACATCTTGTATGCCTACTGGGGGACTGATGCAGAGTAAAATGAAATCAAAAGATCAAAATTCTGGCCTGGTTAGGTACAGCAATAAAAGTCTTACTGATTTCAGTAGGGCCAAAATTCCATCTACGAAGATTACTTCCTTTGACCTAAATGTGCTTTCCATCAATCCCTAATAGCCTTTGAAAGGCAAATGGTTTCTTTCATTTGGGATTAACTCATAGTATGGTGTGATCAGATGTTGTTGGGTTTTTATGTCCGATTACAAGGTGATTAGATAATTTGCAAATTCAAGACACCCCTCTACTTTTAAAACAAATTTTAAAAAGCCTACTGTTAAGACTTAGTTTCAAATGGCTATAAACCACAATATTTTACTTTGACAGTGACAACAGAGATGCCTTATTACTGCTTACTGTGGCCAAAATGTTCAAGAACTGCTGGAAACAATTCCTCTCTGAGCAGAAAGAAGAACTCCACAGGGTATTATCTTTGATCCTCAACATGGACTTTGCAATAGCTGTTAGTTGAGGTGTTTCTAGCACAGGTCCCTCAATTAGCATATCCAGTGGTCAGAACACTAAGGAGCAGTCAAACGCCAAGATGTGAAATTAATGATGTCAAGGTTCAGGAGACAGATTTAGCACAGAGACACTGTATCCTGTCTGTACAAGGACATTGAAGGCAGATGCACCGTAACACAGGCACTTCAGAAAAAAAAGTGGCTCTTTAGCCATGCTGACACTGTCAAAATTATCCTTGTATGACACTGCTTCTGTTCAAAGATTGCTTTCATTTTGAGTAGGAGTGGAGGAAAAGTGGAGGTGAAACTTGACCCTGTGCAACAGAAAACCAGCTCTGAAGGATTCTTCCCCTTGGACAGATGCATCTCAACCGGGACGGAAAGACAGCATCAGCCCCTTATGCCTCTGACTGGTTTGCATCTTCCACCACCAGCATGAGGATAAAAGCTTTCTTGTGCTGCTCATCTGACCCTTTGATGAGGGCCATTAACCTGACAAGGAATGACTCTTTTTTTTTTTTTCTTTTTTTTGGCATTTGCTGTGTTTGTTTCCTAGAAGCCAGACAAAGGAAAACAGTGGGAGCATGTGTGCATGGGTGGAACAGCTCCGCCTCTTTCAGCAGCAAAATCTGTAGATCAGCCTGTAAAATCTTATCCTGCTTTTCAAAGGTACTGTAGATCTTGACTTACAAAAGAGAAGAAAATCCTTCAGGGATTTATTAAAAAGAAAAATCATGAAAGTGTCATTACTTGACAAGTTGGCTTTGGTGAAGAAACCAGCTTTAAGAAGGGTGTTGCCCTGCCCTTCCTCTCACCCACCAGTTTTCCAATGTAACCAACACTTGCACTGTGTTAATACAATTGTTGATGGAACCATTCTGCAGGCCAGATCACTGAAACTATATTCATTAAAAATCATCCGCCCACCCTCAAAGTTATTCTTCAGCCAGACCATTTAATTGCAGTGGTTCATAGGATGACCTTTCAGTCAACAGTGAAGACCAAGCAGGCAGTGAACATAAGCATCACAACCCACACGTAGAAATTTTTCCTTTTTTAAGCTGGCTCTGCTGTGAAGCATGTGTGACAGACAAACAAGCCAATCATACATCAAAGGTAAGGGAAGCTACTGACTGGGGGCAAAATATGAGCAAGAAGAATCTCGGATAATTCTCAACCAAAGACAAGGCATGAGGAGGAGCTGAGAAACAACAGGCAAAGCTCTGTCGCTTCACAACATCCCTGAAACAGCAGAGAAGTTAGAGTCAAATACATTGCATATATACATGCAGGAATAGATGCACTGTATAACTCTCCAGGAAAAACTTCTCTTTTACTCCCAAGTAGACTAGTTGCAATGAATACCATTTCTGAAAGACATCTGTAAATGGTTGCAGGCCAAAAGAAAAAAAACCTCAGCTGCAAAACTGCTCCCCTGAACACTACAGATAATTTCCTCAAGCATCTGACATTCACTACTGGCTGGGTACAGAAGTGATTTTGTAAGCCTAATTCACACACTAATGAGATCAAAAGCAGAAAACATTCTCAGACTGCTTACCTCTTTTGCACTTTTAATTTTGGCCAAGAAAGTGTACAGTTCCATTGTTTCAGCAAATAGAGCCCGACATACTGCTTGGTAGTGGTTCGGCGCCTCTGATCGGGTTGGCAGGTGGGCAGCACACAACTAGAGAGAAAAATAAATAGCAATATCAAAATGATGCCCCATTGCTTTCAACAATGCTACAGAGCATGAGATAACATGAAAGCAAATGCAATGGACTATTTAGGGCACAAAAATCCATGAGACATTTAAGTTTAGGCAGAAATTGGGGTGTATTTTCCAAACCTTCTGCTATCATTTATTTTATCAGAAGAGTTCCACAAGGACAGTAAGAGAACTGGTTGACTGGAAAACTCTGAAAACCAAGACATTGCCTTTTCATTACTAAAAAAAAAAAAACCAAACAACAAACCCAAAAAACCCCCAAACCAACCAAAAAAAAACCCAAACAAAAAAACCCAAAGAAAAACCAAGACATAACTGTGAAGGAGGAAAAAGCAATCTTGCAGTATCAAATTTGGGGAAAATGTACTTAATTCAAACCAGCTTTAACAGGAAGTGTTGTTTAGCTTCCTATGAATGTGGAAGAGGAGCGTATCCCTACTGATTTATGAAAGGATGGAAGGTGAAGCAAGGAAAAAAGTGTAATCGTCAAGCTGAAACTCTGATTTAATTTATTTCAAGCAGTACAAAGATTTTAAAAATCAGCAAGAGCCATGGAAGTGCAGGCTTATTGCTTCACCATTCCTGAACGTTTCCAGACACAGGCACAGCTAATGTAACGAAACACTGACAGATGTTTTCATACACGCTAAACCTGCAAAACACTGAAAGCCTACACAAATCACTAATAATCATTCGAAACTACTGTTAAGCAGTCAGTCTGGCATTGCTTTTAGAATAAAGCATGCAGCTCCCACTTCCAACAAGAGAAGTTTCACTGAAACCAGCCTTTACGTTTCAGACAGAGAACCTGAATTGTATGAGCAACATCCAGCTTCCTGAACATGAACATACAGCTTCTACTATCGTAGAATACCTCAGCACTGACCTAATAGTTGGAGTATCTTTTTCACCTGAGTCAAATCCATCACCTGTAAGCATTTGTCTTGGAAATCTTGGCTGGCAACAGACAGAACAAAATAACATCCATAGTGTGTTCCCTAAGAAGTTTTAAATCAAAAAAACTCCGAAGCTGAAACTAGAGCACCCATATCATATATCATACAGATGTATATATTAAAACAAAACAAAATCTTAACCAAGGCCTTAAAATTTGTCCTGATACTGTGGTTTTATAGTAGCTATTTATTATAAATATAGCTGTATGTATTTAGCTCTATAGAGCTAAAACTAAGAACAATCCAAAACCTGAGGCAGTAGGTGGCTATGCTCAGATCTCCAGAACTAAAGCTTGAGACAAAAGCCTCTTTAGGAGAAGAGTCCTTAATTAGCCTAGTGGCATATTTGTCTAAATCTCTCCTGTTATTACAGTGAACACTGCGGTTACAAGGGGCACAATTCATGTAAAGCTCGGGCTGCTTTTTCATATTGCTTTCAATTTGATTTAAATCCACACTGCCACTAAAAGGTGTGGTCCTGTGGCCTCCAGCTGTACGCGTCCGCTGATGCCCTTATGCTGGCACCGGAGTTCGTGCCCTAGCTCAGAAAGGATTACTCACCTGGACAAAAATGAACAATGTGAGGGAAGCGGAGCAGGAGACAAGTATTCTTCACGGCGCAGACACACGCATAGTAGCACGGGCAGAAAGGAGCAAGGGGAACATGCTGCTGGAGTGGGGAAAGGGAGGAAGGAGCTGAAGAATTGCTTTTGGTTGCAGTCAGATTTAGATTGGCTCAATCTCACTGACAAGTTGCTTTCTAAGGCCATAGGCTCCTTGTTATCTTTTATTTCTTCCAGTTAGCATAACAATACAGAGTTCAGTGGTCAGATGTGGTCAACTTCTTTGATAAATTTTTACAAGCACAATTTGGACTCCTGTAATATCCTATTCCGATTATTGTACACACATATACATCTCCTTTTAGTCATAAAAAATAATATATATAAGGAAAGTTTATGTGTATTTTATTTCCTTCCTATATACTTTCCTTATATATAGCGAATGCAAGGCAGACATGTTCACAAAACTGCTCTTGATTCCTCCCTTTCAAATTTTATACTGCTTTATGATGATGGCCAAAATTTTCTTACTCTCTTCAAATATATTTCTGGATAATCACAAGGACATAGTTGACAGAAAAAAACCTACCACTTTTTCTTCTTTTTAATTTCTTTCGTCTTTCTTTTTCTTTCCCCCTCCCCCTCTTTTTTTTTTCTTTTTTTCTTTTATTTCCTTTTTAACAAATCATATCATCTCCTTTGCAGGTAAAGGGAGCAAAACCAAAATAGATGCACCTCTAACGTGTGCTACAGTGACAGTGCATACCACAAAGATAGAAGCTATTAAATATTTCCCTTGACTTAATGAAAAAGTTAGAACATTTAAAAGACCAAATTCTGAGTATGGTTAATTTGTGTTCCTTTCTCTCAATAACTAATCATGTCCTTACCTGCCTTACTATGTTTTCAGTAAGCTATTTGTGGTTATTAATTATAGTACAGATAAAAAGGGGTTCATTCTAAAATACACCACTTACAGAATAACAATAACTATAAGAATAATAACAGCAGCAATTTCGAAAAGGTCATAAAATGGTACAAGTCTTCACAGCTGAGAATAAAATTTTATTATTATAGAGATTGCAGACAGGTTTTGAAGAACGCTTTTTTCTTTATTTAGAAGCATGTTAATTAGCAACAATTTGCATCAAATATTGAGAAAGTCAATGAAATGCAGCAGTGGCAAGTTCAAGCAGTGGATGGATATAATCTTGATTCTATTATTGAACACGAAGTAAAGCAAAAAAAAAAAAATTACACGCCTGCTGCTGAACTTAGTTACAAAAGCAACCACATAAAAAGTTAACCATTTGGTTTGTAAACATTAGGCTGCAGGTATTAAAAGATGGCCAGCAGCTCCTACTAACTTTCATGTTCAGAAAAATCAGTCTCTGAGTGATCTTATATTATGTTAAGGTTCATTACATACAAAAAACCCTTGTGGTAACATTAGGTCAAGTGACTTAGCATAAATTTTTGAAATGGGAAAGGTAAGCCTGAAGAAAAAGGAAAATGCAAATAGGACAGACTGATTTTTTTTTTCCCCCCCTTCATTATAATATATTGTACTTGGCATGTTATTCAGAGCATCTGACAAGCTATAACTTCTACATGAAAAAATACTGCAAAATCTAGGCACGCAAGGCAAATCAAGTATGAACTGTCACTTCTAGCCCGAGTTCAGGATATTTATCCACTTTGAAAGAAAATAAAAATCACATCTTTTAATTTTATGATAGTCATGTTTGAAAAGCTACGTTACTGTAACACACCACAAAAATCACAGTCAGAATGTTTTAATAATTGAGATATGAAAGGACAGCCACCTAATGAACTCCTCCTCCTCTTACCATGTCATAGTGGTCGTGGTACAAGATGGATTAAGATCAGGTCTGCAGTCTTTTCCAGCCAAAGTTCATCGAGGAAAGGAAGCCTCTGCATGCTGCTTATTCTGACATTTACCTTTTCATCCCTCATGATACAGCTTAAAACTATCCTAAGGGGAATCAAGGCAAACAGTGCCCAGAGCTTCATACAAGGGCTGTTTGTTCCGTTTCCAAAAAGTCTCAAAAAGTATGGCTGAAAACAAATTATGTGATCTTTGCAAACTGGTGAAATATAAAAAATATTATCAACTACTGAAACATTAAACCAGCTCGGTCTGTATTTCCATTTGCAATCACTGTGAAGAGCTGGGATTTTTTTTTTTAATTTTTTCTTCCTAGCCGAGCCTATCCAAAACCCAGCTTGACCCAAAGCATTCAATCTTTGCTTAGATCACTAAGAAGATTAGAGACTGTTTCCATCCACATTCAGAGTTCACAGAAAAAAAAAAGCATTATGTAAATACCATAGCCTTGCCAGCTCCTCTATCCAAATTCACCCTCAATTGACTAGGAAACAGAGTGCACCAAGCCAAAGCAGTGTTAACAGAAATCACAATTTAACCATCCGAAGAGATCAAACAGCTTTTCTTGCATCTGTTTGAATATATCCCATCAAGGGCTCCATAAAATTACAAAAAATACAACTGACTCACCCACTAAAATTCAGGTAGGTTTTGCAAAACCTTTTTGGCTAGATATATACTGGAAGCTTCATCAAAACACCTGGCCTGCTGGAATTAAGATTTCAAAAGACAAAAAGTGTTTCCACTTGCAGTCGTCTTGGGCAGAGGGCCTGTATGAATGCACCACAAAGAAGAAAAGGATTTCTTTTTCCCATGGGCCACAAAGAGAAGCTATTGATATTATGCAAAACATACTACCAGCCTGCAAATGCCAGGCTTGTTAAGTGTTTTGAAAGCCTTGAAGTATTAACATAGACTTAAAAGATGTACTTTTTCTTAAGCAACAAGAAGAAATTACTTGAACCAACAGATCACTGAACATGCAACTGTAGTAGATATCTGCCTCATCCTTTGCAGCATGGTACTGCAACAGGTTAAAAAAAAATTCAGCTTGAGATGTCTTCCTAAGTCAAGGTTATTTTCTGAAAGATTTTATCTCCATGGAGATAAACTAGACCTTGTGATCAGGCTTTTTTTTTTTTTTTTATAATATCCTTTTATTCCTATGAATATGAACTTCAAGGAGCCATCTGCCTCACTGAAAAAATCTTACCAAGACAACACCTATGTATTTGTAAAACTCAACTGAGCATTTTGCTTCGCTTTATTTTCCAGAATAACAGTAAGGGAGGGACCACTCAGAGGAATAAGAAGCATTTGACATGAGTTTGTAAGATATTTCTGCCTGCTAGGACCAGCCCTGTGGATAGCACATGGGACTTCGGCACAGTGCAAGTTTTGAAGCGGCTTTCTGACACCTGGAGCCAGCTCACCTGCTCCCTACCAGCTCACAGTTGCTCTCTCAAATTTTCCACGCAGAGATTTGCCCCTGGCTCCGCCACTTGTAACTGCAGTGGGCCAAGGACTAGC